GTAATAACCTCCGGGTAACTCAGGTTAGGGGTTGTCCCAATCACCTGCTCTCTGGATTGGCACATATGATATTTTGTTATAATTTATAATCTTTTATGTATAATAGCTGTTCTTAACAAAATTATGATATGGTCTATATATTTTTACATTAAGATGATTGATCCCTGTTATGTAACTTTATGTTGTTATACTGTGTATCTATATACGTTTACGATGTAATTGTGATATATGACACTAAAATGAACAAAATTGACTTGACTTGACTTGACTTATTTCAACTCAATAATATTCTTACTGAAAAGTTGTTACGGTTTGGGGATGAAATTATGTCTGCTGCAGATAATAATCAACTGTTCACTTGTGTACAACTATGTGTCATAGCTACAGAACGTTTTTAGTGATAGATATGCCTGTTACATACCTTATAACACTATTCCGTCTTTGCGTATTGCAGAGTTATCTTCTCTTTGGAGCAGGTATTGATTGTTACGTCATTGGTTTGTGTAAGAAAATTACGTCGTTTTCTCAAAAATTAATGACGTTACTCTCACAAACAAGTGACGTAACAATCAATACCTGCCCCCAAGAGAAGATAACTCTGCAATACGCAAAGACGGAATACATGTGCATGAAAAGTTTTTAAAAAATGCTTCATAATATAATTTGTTAATTTCCTAGTTATTTTAAACTCATTGCTTTCAAATTTTTCAACTACATGTATAAGCAAACACTGCGGCAGCTGAGTGTAGAGGACCTTAGCATAGCAGTTCCTCTAGTACGTTCTCGTTCCACGTCCCCGTCCTGCAATCGGCTGGACATGTCGTCACTGGCGATCTAAATGTGATCAATGATGCTAAGCTACGAGAGCTTTTCGTGAAGGGTATTTATGGATTCTGTTGAAGACTACGCCAGACAATGGACACAACGAGAGCATGCCGAATGGATTCACTTTCAGAGTGTGTTAACCATTTCTTGACCCCGATGTCCAAACCACACTCAACGATCTGCATGCTAGTTATATAGTTGTGTCTGCAGACAAAGCATCTAATAACTTAATCATTGTCTGCAAACACTATATTGCATTACAGAAAGAACTGGGCTTAATAGATAGCCAAGGAAACCCTGCCTGTACATTTTCCAGTTTTTGGAAAAGACGAAATAATTGTAAATCACGCTTCTATGATACATACTGTCCAAACAACCATTAACGATAGGGATACGGACCTGCCTCGTTTGTCACATACCCACTAATGATAGGGATACGGACCTGCCTCGTTAGTCACATACCCACTAATGATAGGGATACGGACCTGCCTCGTTTGTATTCCAAACCTTCACAGGAATCCTTATAAAAAAACATATATTCAAGAACTAGAATAAACATTACGCGTATTTGAATTCAAAAGATATTTTGGTCGATCTTGAACATCCCCTTCTCAAAAATGTTTTTTGTCTATCAAAACTTTTGACTTTTCAACCCTTTTCAATACCATTGCTCATACCAAACTGAAGGGACGCCATCTTTCTCTTGGTATGAAATCTTCCTTTACAAAGAAAGGCATACTCCGATATAAGTATATGCATGGTTGTCAATTAAATTGAAACTTATTTCGTCAAAATTACAACAAAAGCCAAAATAAACTAGACTGAGGGACGACATTGTGAGAACGATTGAATTCCTGGTTAACAATATCTATGCCGAGTTTAATGGAAAGATTTTCCAGCAGACTGTAGGCGTTCCTATGGAAACAAAATGTGCCCCTCTTCTGACTGATTTGTTTCTGTTTTCATACGAAACTGAATTCATTTCTGAGCTTGTTGTGACTGGTAACAAAAACCTAGCCAACTCCTTCAACATATCGACGATGTGCAGTCTTTGGATAACAACAAATTCATCGATTGTATACCCTCCAGAGCTTCAGAGAAATCAAGGGAACCACAGACTTTTCAATTTCAACCACCTTCCTTGATCTTTACTTACGTCATGACCAACAGGGACGGCTACATACTAAGTTGTATGATAAGCGTGACATCATGACCAACATGGACGGCTACGTATACCTACTTAGTTGTATGATAAGCGTGACATCATGGCCAACAGGGACGGCTACATACTAAGTTGTATGATAAGCGTGACATCATGACCAACAGGGACGGCTACATACTAAGTTGTATGATAAGCGTGACATCATGACCAACAGGGACGGCTACATACTAAGTTGTATGATAAGCGTGACATCATGACCAACAGGGACGGCTACATACTAAGTTGTATGATAAGCGTGACATCATGACCAACAGGGACGGCTACATACTAAGTTGTATGATAAGCGTGACATCATGACCAACAGGGACGGCTACATACTAAGTTGTATGATAAGCGTGACATCATGACCAACAGGGACGGCTACATACTAAGTTGTATGATAAGCGTGACATCATGACCAACAGGGACGGCTACATACTAAGTTGTATGATAAGCGTGACATCATGACCAACAGGGACGGCTACATACTAAGTTGTATGATAAGCGTGACATCATGACCAACAGGGACGGCTACATACTAAGTTGTATGATAAGCGTGACATCATGACCAACAGGGACGGCTACATACTAAGTTGTATGATAAGCGTGACATCATGACCAACAGGGACGGCTACATACTAAGTTGTATGATAAGCGTGACATCATGACCAACAGGGACGGCTACATACTAAGTTGTATGATAAGCGTGACATCATGACCAACAGGGACGGCTACATACTAAGTTGTATGATAAGCGTGACATCATGACCAACAGGGACGGCTACATACTAAGTTGTATGATAAGCGTGACATCATGACCAACAGGGACGGCTACATACTAAGTTGTATGATAAGCGTGACATCATGACCAACAGGGACGGCTACATACTAAGTTGTATGATAAGCGTGACATCATGACCAACAGGGACGGCTACATACTAAGTTGTATGATAAGCGTGACATCATGACCAACAGGGACGGCTACATACTAAGTTGTATGATAAGCGTGACATCATGACCAACAGGGACGGCTACATACTAAGTTGTATGATAAGCGTGACATCATGACCAACAGGGACGGCTACATACTAAGTTGTATGATAAGCGTGACATCATGACCAACAGGGACGGCTACATACTAAGTTGTATGATAAGCGTGACATCATGACCAACAGGGACGGCTACATACTAAGTTGTATGATAAGCGTGACATCATGACCAACAGGGACGGCTACATACTAAGTTGTATGATAAGCGTGACATCATGACCAACAGGGACGGCTACATACTAAGTTGTATGATAAGCGTGACATCATGACCAACAGGGACGGCTACATACTAAGTTGTATGATAAGCGTGACATCATGACCAACAGGGACGGCTACATACTAAGTTGTATGATAAGCGTGACATCATGACCAACAGGGACGGCTACATACTAAGTTGTATGATAAGCGTGACATCATGACCAACAGGGACGGCTACATACTAAGTTGTATGATAAGCGTGACATCATGACCAACAGGGGCGGCTACATACTAAGTTGTATGATAAGCGTGACATCATGACCAACAGGGACGGCTACCTACTAAGTTGTATGATAAGCGTGACATCATGATCAACAGGGACGGCTACATACTAAGTTGTATGATAAGCGTGACATCATGATCAACAGGAACGGCTACATACTAAGTTGTATGATAAGCGTGACATCATGACCAACAGGGACGGCTACCTACTAAGTTGTATGATAAGCGTGACTATTTCGCCTTGCCGATCGTGAACATTTCCTTTCTTGATAGCAACTTCCCAGCTCCCCTACGGTGTTAACATGTCGCAGTTGATCCTAATATCATGACTTCCCGAAGTTCAGTGATAGATGCGACTACTGACGGACAAACGTACATCACAGCGTTTCCAAATGTGTAGGTTGATGATGACTATTGACAAGTTTATAGTCGCTATCAGGATCTCGCTACTTCTTTGTGTCACATCAAGGTCGATTTTTTTTATTATGCTCACTAGAGTGCCTCGTGGTTTTGTTGTCAATACCCCAGTTCTCGATATGAGGACGTGACATTACTTGGATTCGACTTTGATTTACATGGCGGCTGTCATCGATAAAGCAGAAGACGCTTACCCTTCCGGAACACCTGATCTTATTCTCCTTGTTGTTTTTATCGAGTTTGAGTCCGGATTGTTTTTTTGTTGACACTTCGGTATTCTACGGAAGGAAGTGGATTAATGCATAAGCTTTAAGCTAGCTTACCTCCCTATCCTAGCTGTTTCCGTTTGTACACTTGAAAGAAACGAAATGAATTAAAGTTTACACTCAAACATAAAACTTAACATTTCTTGCAAGTATTTCAGGACATTTGTGTTCCATTAACTTATTCACACCCTTATTTTCATAGTTGATGTTCCACATATAGTTACTCTAGTCCTTTCTTATTCAACAAGATTTTATAACAATCCATCCATACATTCTCTGTTCATAACACGCTCTATTTATATAACTGTCACTTTATTTCACTTTTAGTCCAGTATTGCAATATTTTCATTTTTCTCATTTTTTTTTTTTTCTACTGGAACATGCATGAACTCAAATCGGATCAGTACCCAAATCGGATCACTTTTGCAAAAATACTTATAAATCAAATAATGTGTCAACAGTTAAGTCATCTTTATGATTCATATAGTTATGCAACATAGTTCAAATAGCATCAGAGACGTATTTCAAACTCAAAATCTAGATTTTTGGTTATGTTGTTAAAAAATGGCGCGTGCGAGCACTCTGCATCCTGTTTTGGACTGTACATACATTCAGAAAAACGTCATGTTTACATCGTCAGCTGTATAGTCTCTTGAGTTTCTATGCAAGACACGGATAAAACTAGAAACTTTCCGATAAATCAATTTGACCTACATTAACGGACCAATCAGATTGTATTTACCTCGTGTTATGTGCCAAATATGGAATTCGACTAATTTCGGTTTCACGTGAACTGAAGGCCATTATCCATTTGGACACCAAACGGTAAACTTTGTCTTGGTGATAATGCGAATAGATTCAATTCATAACGAAGCTGAACGTCTACAGAGGCGAAAGAGATGTAAACAAGCGTTGATGTAAGTATACCTCATGTGCGGATACATGTTAGGTGTAATAAACTGTCACTTTCAAAGCTTTTATCGATATCGTGTGCACCCCGGCTACGTTTCGATTAGCTTTATCTCATGGTTTTGAATGAATTCAATAACACGTCTAAACGTCATAGGCAGTGTTATACAAAACAGAATGCAGGTATGAGATCCTTATTTATTCTGAAATTTTTGCATGAACGTGCTATGTTTAGTCTAAAAACAAAAGTGGGCATAGGTCACTCACAGCTAGGCTAGGGGTTCGATCGTTGATAATTTTACCCCGAAGAAATAGATGTCGGGTGAATGTATAATCTTTCCCACTCTGAATGCACACCACGATATAGACCTATATAGAGCCACTCTGACTCCACGATATAGACCTATATAGAGCCACTCTGACACTACGATATAGACCTATATAGAGCCACTCTGACACCACGATATAGACCTATATAGAGCCACTCTGACACCACGATATAGACCTATATAGAGCCACTCTGACACCACGATATAGACCTATATAGAGCCACTCTGACACCACGATATAGACCTATATAGAGCCACTCTGACACCACGATATAGACCTATATAGAGCCACTCTGACACCACGATATAGACCTATATAGAGCCACTCTGACACCACGATATAGACCTATATAGAGCCACTCTGACACCACGATATAGACCTATATAGAGCCACTCTGACACCACGATATAGACCTATATAGAGCCACTCTGACACCACGATATAGACCTATATAGAGCCACTCTGACACCACGATATAGACCTATATAGAGCCACTCTGACACCACGATATAGACCTATATAGAGCCACTCTGACACCACGATATAGACCTATATAGAGCCACTCTGACACCACGATATAGACCTATATAGAGCCACTCTGACACCACGATATAGACCTATATAGAGCCACTCTGACACCACGATATAGACCTATATAGAGCCACTCTGACACCACGATATAGACCTATATAGAGCCACTCTGACACCACGATATAGACCTATATAGAGCCACTCTGACACCACGATATAGACCTATATAGAGCCACTCTGACACCACGATATAGACCTATATAGAGCCACTCTGACACCACGATATAGACCTATATAGAGCCACTCTGACACCACGATATAGACCTATATAGAGCCACTCTGACACCACGATATAGACCTATATAGAGCCACTCTGACACCACGATATAGACCTATATAGAGCCACTCTGACACCACGATATAGACCTATATAGAGCCACTCTGACACCACGATATAGACCTATATAGAGCCACTCTGACACCACGATATAGACCTATATAGAGCCACTCTGACACCACGATATAGACCTATATAGAGCCACTCTGACACCACGATATAGACCTATATAGAGCCACTCTGACACCACGATATAGACCTATATAGAGCCACTCTGACACCACGATATAGACCTATATAGAGCCACTCTGACACCACGATATAGACCTATATAGAGCCACTCTGACACCACGATATAGACCTATATAGAGCCACTCTGACACCACGATATAGACCTATATAGAGCCACTCTGACACCACGATATAGACCTATATAGAGCCACTCTGACACCACGATATAGACCTATATAGAGCCACTCTGACACCACGATATAGACCTATATAGAGCCACTCTGACACCACGATATAGACCTATATAGAGCCACTCTGACACCACGATATAGACCTATATAGAGCCACTCTGACACCACGATATAGACCTATATAGAGCCACTCTGACACCACGATATAGACCTATATAGAGCCACTCTGACACCACGATATAGACCTATATAGAGCCACTCTGACACCACGATATAGACCTATATAGAGCCACTCTGACACCACGATATAGACCTATATAGAGCCACTCTGACACCACGATATAGGCCTATATAGAGCCACTCTGACACCACGATATAGACCTATATAGAGCCACTCTGACACCACGATATAGGCCTATATAGAGCCACTCTGACACCACGATATAGACCTATATAGAGCCACTCTGACACCACGATATAGGCCTATATAGAGCCACTCTGACACCACGATATAGACCTATATAGAGCCACTCTGACACCATGATATAGGCCTATATAGAGGCACTCTGACACCACGATATAGACCTATATAGAGCCACTCTGACACCACAATATAGACCTATATAGAGCCACTCTGACACTATGATATAGGCCTATATAGAGGCACTCTGACACCACAATATAGACCTATATAGAGCCACTCTGACACCCTGATATAGGCCTATATAGAGTTTGGAGGGTTCAGGGCTCGAATCGTGGTCGTGCCGTTGAATTTCTCTTTCTGTTACATGAACACTGTTTGTGTGTCCAATGGATGGGTAGACCACAGGGGTTCGTTACAAATGTCTGAAATACACCAATGTGCTGTGACCCATATCAGTATAGCAACTGTGTATTTCAGACATTTGTAAAGAACCCCTGTGTGCTGACCATGCAGCATCTCCTTGCTGTATAATTTTCCGATATATGAAAAAAACGAGCATTGACTATATAATAGCACGGAGTTAGATTAGATTGCTATTTAAGTCTGTGCTAATAGTAATACTCCCTTGAGCATGAAGCTGGAATTAAGGCAACTGTGATACTATCTTCTATCTATAATTTTCACAATTTTAATTATGTACCCAACTAAGGTTGAATTCTGCTCAGTAGTTTGGGAGGAGCGGTCATTTATTGAAAAAAATGACCAATGACAAACAAAAACCCACCAAGCACCACCATATAGGCTCACCATGGCTGTTAACCTTGTAGGAGGTGAGCTAGTTATATCTGAATGTTGTGTACTAATATATATTAATCTCATTTTGTTTAGCTGGTCTTTCTATAAAATTGTAGCTTCCCTGGGGGTTGATCATGATATCATTTCATTTCATTTTGCAGAAGTGAGAAAACCATCTTCAAAGATTCTTGATCAGATGCCAGAAATTGCCAGTGCCCATAACTGAAAATATTACCATCCCGTGTGTCATTCTTACTACAGCGGTATACAGCCTATAACAAATTCTCCGACAAATGTAAGCTGGCTTCCAGTTGATGGTGTGTCTAGACAAGCTTCTCTGACAGACGTCTGCGACAAAGCAACACAATGGTCAAAGATATGTGTAAGGAATGTGGTGGAGTGTCTCCTGAAAGGTAATTTAGAATCTGTAAACAAAACCATGTATATTAGTTGTTGTGCATTGGGTGGTCGGATGGCACTGTAAACAAAACCATGTATATTAGTTGTTGTGCATTGGGTGGTCGGATGGCACTGTAAACAAAACCATGTATAATAGTTGTGTTTATTGTGTATTGGGTGGTCGGATGGCACAGTAAACCAAACCATGTATAATAGTTGTGTTTAATGTGCATTGGGTGGTCAGATGGCACAGTAAACCAAACCATGTATAATAGTTGTGTTTATTGTGTATTGGGTGGTCGAATGGCACTGTAAACCAAACCATGTATAATAGTTGTGTTTATTGTGTATTGGGTGGTCGGATGGCACAGTAAACCAAACCATGTATAATAGTTGTGTTTATTGTGTATTGGGTGGTCGGATGGCACAGTAAACCAAACCATGTATAATAGTTGTGTTTATTGTGTATTGGGTGGTCGGATGGCACAGTAAACCAAACCATGTATAATAGTTGTGTTTATTGTGTATTGGGTGGTCGGATGGCACAGTAAACCAAACCATGTATAATAGTTGTGTTTATTGTGTATTGGGTGGTCGGATGGCACAGTAAACCAAACCATGTATAATAGTTGTGTTTATTGTGTATTGGGTGGTCGGATGGCACAGTAAACCAAACCATGTATAATAGTTGTGTTTATTGTGTATTGGGTGGTCGGATGGCACAGTAAACCAAACCATGTATAATAGTTGTGTTTATTGTGTATTGGGTGGTCGGATGGCACAGTAAACCAAACCATGTATAATAGTTGTGTTTATTGTGTATTGGGTGGTCGGATGGCACAGTAAACCAAACCATGTATAATAGTTGTGTTTATTGTGTATTGGGTGGTCGGATGGCACAGTAAACCAAACCATGTATAATAGTTGTGTTTATTGTGTATTGGGTGGTCGGATGGCACAGTAAACCAAACCATGTATAATAGTTGTGTTTATTGTGTATTGGGTGGTCGGATGGCACAGTAAACCAAACCATGTATAATAGTTGTGTTTATTGTGTATTGGGTGGTCGGATGGCACAGTAAACCAAACCATGTATAATAGTTGTGTTTATTGTGTATTGGGTGGTCGGATGGCACAGTAAACCAAACCATGTATAATAGTTGTGTTTATTGTGTATTGGGTGGTCGGATGGCACAGTAAACCAAACCATGTATAATAGTTGTGTTTATTGTGTATTGGGTGGTCGGATGGCACAGTAAACCAAACCATGTATAATAGTTGTGTTTATTGTGTATTGGGTGGTCGGATGGCACAGTAAACCAAACCATGTATAATAGTTGTGTTTATTGTGTATTGGGTGGTCGGATGGCACAGTAAACCAAACCATGTATAATAGTTGTGTTTATTGTGTATTGGGTGGTCGGATGGCACAGTAAACCAAACCATGTATAATAGTTGTGTTTATTGTGTATTGGGTGGTCGGATGGCACAGTAAACCAAACCATGTATAATAGTTGTGTTTATTGTGTATTGGGTGGTCGGATGGCACAGTAAACCAAACCATGTATAATAGTTGTGTTTATTGTGTATTGGGTGGTCGGATGGCACAGTAAACCAAACCATGTATAATAGTTGTGTTTATTGTGTATTGGGTGGTCGGATGGCACAGTAAACCAAACCATGTATAATAGTTGTGTTTATTGTGTATTGGGTGGTCGGATGGCACAGTAAACCAAACCATGTATAATAGTTGTGTTTATTGTGTATTGGGTGGTCGGATGGCACAGTAAACCAAACCATGTATAATAGTTGTGTTTATTGTGTATTGGGTGGTCGGATGGCACAGTAAACCAAACCATGTATAATAGTTGTGTTTATTGTGTATTGGGTGGTCGGATGGCACAGTAAACCAAACCATGTATAATAGTTGTGTTTATTGTGTATTGGGTGGTCGGATGGCACAGTAAACCAAACCATGTATAATAGTTGTGTTTATTGTGTATTGGGTGGTCGGATGGCACAGTAAACCAAACCATGTATAATAGTTGTGTTTATTGTGTATTGGGTGGTCGGATGGCACTGTAAACCAAACCATGTATAATAGTTGTGTTTATTGTGTATTGGGTGGTCGGATGGCACTGTAAACCAAACCATGTATAATAGTTGTGTTTATTGTGTATTGGGTGGTCGGATGGCACTGTAAACCAAACCATGTATAATAGTTGTGTTTATTGTGTATTGGGTGGTCGGATGGCACTGTAAACCAAACCATGTATAATAGTTGTGTTTATTGTGTATTGGGTGGTCGGATGGCACTGTAAACCAAACCATGTATAATAGTTGTGTTTATTGTGTATTGGGTGGTCGGATGGCACTGTAAACCAAACCATGTATAATAGTTGTGTTTATTGTGTATTGGGTGGTCGGATGGCACTGTAAACCAAACCATGTATAATAGTTGTGTTTATTGTGTATTGGGTGGTCGGATGGCACTGTAAACCAAACCATGTATAATAGTTGTGTTTATTGTGTATTGGGTGGTCGGATGGCACTGTAAACCAAACCATGTATAATAGTTGTGTTTATTGTGTATTGGGTGGTCGGATGGCACTGTAAACCAAACCATGTATAATAGTTGTGTTTATTGTGTATTGGGTGGTCGGATGGCACTGTAAACCAAACCATGTATAATAGTTGTGTTTATTGTGTATTGGGTGGTCGGATGGCACTGTAAACCAAACCATGTATAATAGTTGTGTTTATTGTGTATTGGGTGGTCGGATGGCACTGTAAACCAAACCATGTATAATAGTTGTGTTTATTGTGTATTGGGTGGTCGGATGGCACTGTAAACCAAACCATGTATAATAGTTGTGTTTATTGTGTATTGGGTGGTCGGATGGCACTGTAAACCAAACCATGTATAATAGTTGTGTTTATTGTGTATTGGGTGGTCGAATGGCACTGTAAACCAAACCATGTATAATAGTTGTGTTTATTGTGTATTGGGTGGTCGAATGGCACTGTAAACCAAACCATGTATAATAGTTGTGTTTATTGTGTATTGGGTGGTCGAATGGCACTGTAAACCAAACCATGTATAATAGTTGTGTTTATTGTGTATTGGGTGGTCGAATGGCACTGTAAACCAAACCATGTATAATAGTTGTGTTTATTGTGTATTGGGTGGTCGAATGGCACTGTAAACCAAACCATGTATAATAGTTGTGTTTATTGTGTATTGGGTGGTCGAATGGCACTGTAAACCAAACCATGTATAATAGTTGTGTTTATTGTGTATTGGGTGGTCGAATGGCACTGTAAACCAAACCATGTATAATAGTTGTGTTTGATGTGTATTGGGTGGTCGGATGGTGCTATAAAACAAACCATGTATAATAGTTGTGTTTATTGTGTATTGGGTGGTCTGATGGTACTGTAAAACAAACCATGTATAATAGTTGGGTTTATTGTGTTTTGGATGGGTGGCACTGTAAACCAAACCATGAATAATAGTTTTGTTTATTGTGTATTGTGTGGTCGGATGGTACTGTAAAACAAACCATGTATAATAGTTGGGTTTATTGTGTTTTGGATGGATTGCACTGTAAACCAAACCATGAATAATAGTTTTGTTTATTGTGTATTTGGTGGTCTGATGGTACTGTAAAACAAACCATGTATAAGAGTTGTGTTTATTGTGTTTTTGATGGATGGCACTGTAGACAGGACATCATCATCGATATCCAGGGGATACGTGTTTAATGTGTATTGGGTGGTCGGATGGTACTGTAAAACAAACCATGTATAATAGTTGTGTTTATTGTGTATTGGATGGATGGCACTGTAGACAGTACATCATCATCGATATCCAGGGGATACGCTCACTTATGCTCTCTGCACCCCTGGAACATGTCATAGCAAAATTGAAGGCACGAAGAATGCTGTTTGATTGGTCTCGGGTAAACAACACCTGACTATCGCTAGGCTGTATATGACCACTATAAGCTGTACATGTATATGACCACTAGGCTGTATATGATCACTAGGCTGTATATGACCACTAGGCTGTATATGACCACTAGGCTGTATATGACCACTATAAGCTGTACATGTATATGACCACTAGGCTGTATATGACCACTAGGCTGTATATGACCACTAAGCTGTACATGTATATGACCACTAGGCTGTATATGACCACTAGGCTGTATATGACTACAGAGGAGCGACACCTGACTTCAAAGCAAGTCATTTTTTACCGCGACCGTGATATTCTTTTGATGTACAGGGATCAAACTATTCATCTCATCTTATCCACAAGGTGGCGCACAGTGAGTCTTAAATATCGATATGACATATTCCAGGGGGGCACAGAGTGTAAGTCCTTGAGTATCGATATGACATATTCCAGGGGTGCACAGAGTGTAAGTCCTGAAGTATCGATATGACATTCCAGGGGTGCACAGAGTGTAAGTCCTTGAGTATCGATATGACATATTCCAGGGGTGCACAGAGGGTAAGTCCTGGAGTATCGATATGACATTCCAGGGGGGCACAGAGTGTAAGACCTGGAGTATCGGTATGACATATTCCAGGGGGGCACAGAGTGTAAGTCCTGGAGTATCGATATGACATTCCAGGGGTGCACAGAGTGTAAGACCTGGAGTATCGGTATGACATATTCCAGGGGTGCACAGAGTGTAAGTCCTGGAGTATCGATATTACATTTTCCATGGGTGCACAGAGTGTAAGACCTGGAGTATCGATATGACATATTCCATGGGTGCACAGAGGGTAAGACCTGGAGTATCGGTATGACATATTCCACGGGTGCACAGAGTGTAAGTCCTGGACTATCGATATGACATAAGCCAGGGGTGCACAGAGTGTAAGACCTGGACTATCGATATGACATAAGCCAGGGGTGAACAGAGTGCAAGTCCTGGAGTATTGAAGATGATAGTACATATACATTAGCTTTTCAAAAAGATGACTGGAGTCCTATTCCCTAATCAAACGTGAAAAGGTATGAGGTAACCAACATTATATTTTTTGTTATATATCTGTTTATCGTAAAATGTAAATTGGATTTCACTATACACTTGGTCATCATTTGGTTGACAAAACAGATTTTCATTTTCCAAACTTAAAAGCAGATTTTCTCTTATGGCAAGATATTTGAAACATATCGTTTGCATGAATATGGATACGATGATTAGTTTTTGAACGGAGTATTCAAATTCACAAACAGTTACACAGCTCCTTCATTATTGTTTACAGGTGTTGCACAAGGAAAGATGGTCCTCAACGCCACCAGTTTTCCTTGCTGCCCGCCCCAAAGGATCATCGCGCTGCCCCCGAGGCAACACCACCAGCAAGAAGGAGCGACTTGCCAACCCAGGTTCCGGTTCGGAATCCCTGGGGACCTGTGCTCCAGAGTCGAAGCAACTTTCTTGAGATGCATCTCTGCTAAGAGGAAGTTCTCAGTCTGAACTTCCACTAGACTTGCCATTACAACATGATGTTTCATTTATGCATTATGTTCATTGATATTGAAAACTGGACCAGCAAACACCTTTATCCAGATATTTTTGATACAGCCTCTTTGGCAAGATCTCCTGGAATTCCTTGGTTTGGTTGCTGAACATTTTGCAGATTTTACAGAACACCGTTAGTTGTACACGTGAACTATTTCATCTCAGTAGGGCAAGATAGAGACTACCAATTAGCAATTTCATCATCATCATCAGGAATTTCATCATCATCAACATCAGGAATTTCATTCATCATCATCATCATCATCATCATCTCTTTTTCCATGTCATTATATGATTGAACATTCCAAACATAGGCTTTTCTATGAATATACAATTGAATCACATTCATCCCAATTTTTAGGTCACCTGAGCTTTGCTCAAGTGACCTATTCCAATCGCTTTTCGTCCGTCGTCGTCCGTCGTCCGTCGTGCGTAAACTTTTACATTTTCAACTTCTTCTCAAGAACCAGTGGATGGATTTTTTTCAAACTTGGTCAGAATCATCCTTGGTAGATGAGGCTTCAAAATTGTAAAATTGGGATTCCTACCCC